AAAGCCACTGTAAAGACTCCGAAGGCACTGGCCTCTGGTCAAAGGGGGTCCTTCCCCAGGCCAGTTTTGGGCAGTGCCAGAGGGAGAGCTGCCATGTGCCCAGGGACCCCCTCAGCCAATACTAAGCATCTCTTCCTTTGTGTGATGGCCCTCTGTTGTGACCTGTTGGGTCCCACAGAACCAGCCGAGGTGACAGGCTGCTCTGGCTATAGACACACTTGGTGCTGCGGTGTCCCATGGCCCTATAGTCAAGGTTTGCTTCATTTTTGGAATGATTGCCTGCTTCTCCCTCTGCCTATGTCTCTGCTTCTCTCTGTGTGTCTCTCATGAATACATAAATAAAATCTTAAAAAAGATTTTAAAGAGGAAGAAGAAATCTCCTCGCGGGGAGTCTCATGCAGGACTCAATCCCAGAACCCTGGGATCACGCCCTGAGCTCAAGGCAGACGCTCAACTACTGAGCCACCCCAGTGTCCCTGGAGCCTGTATTAACATGCTCCAATAACTATTTCCCATCTGGCACAGCTGCTCCACTGAGGCCTGGGCTCCTCTGCTTTCTGCAGGAGCCAGCCTGGTGAACAACCTGGGGATGTGGTGGAACCGTCACCCTCCAACATTTAAAGCTTTCAGTGTGTGGCACGAATCTCTGTCTCTCTTTCCAGAGGCAATATCATTCTTCAATACTCTCTTGGTGACTGGGTAACAGTTTCAGGAGATCCACTTGACTTTTTCCCTCTCCAATACCTCTTACTCTATAGGTCAAGGAGCCGAAATGTGAATCTGCCTGTGTCAGAGGGTCCCCAAGAGCAGCCCAAGTCCCATGATGTGCTGGGAGAACCCCCAGAACTCAGATAGGGGTGCTCATAGTATGACTCCTGGCACTTAGTAGTAGGCCATGCTGGATCCCAGCCAGTGGGTACAGGGAAAAATCAGCAAAGGGGAGAAGGCATATGGAGTGAAGACTGGGGAAGCAGACACACTTCCAAGAGCCCCTGTCAGTGAAATCACACAAGACATGCTTCATTCCTCCAGCAATATGATATGATGGCCCATGTGGCCAACCAGAAATGCTCATCAGAGACTCAGCACCCCAGGTTTTCATTGGGAGGCTGGTTATGGAGGTACTGTCTAACATGAACCACTCCGTAAAGGAGAGCAGATGTTCCCCCATAAATTCAAACAGGTTAGGCACAGTTGAGCCATTCTTATCAGTTAATGGTGGGAACCCTCCTGAAATCTGAGTTAGCTGCTGTCAGGCACAGGCCAACCCTGCAAGGACAGCAGTGACAGCTGTGTTGTGCAAACTCTTTTGCACGATGCCAACTGCCTAACGCGACTGTCCAATGATACATCTAGGAACCAAGGAAATGACCCAGGGGTCACAGGCCTGGCTAATTCACTGTGAAATGGAGCTTGGCTAGGACTCTCTTGGGGAGGCCCAGAACACACTTGGGTTTGTTACCTCCCCTCCATGGCTGCTGTAGTGTGGGATGAGTGATAAGAGACACCATGATAGGAGCCCTGGGGTGGCTCAGTTGGTTAACTGTCTGCCTTCAGCTCAGGTCATGATGCTGGAGTCCTGGGATGGAGCCCTGAGTCAGGCTTCCTGCTCAGCAGGGAGTCTGCTTTTCCCTCTCCCTCTGACCCTCCTTCCTGCTTGTGCTTTCTCCTTCTCTGTCTCAAATAAATAAATAAATAAATAAACAAATAAATAAATAAATCTAACCATGGGAAAACATCAGACAAACCAAATTGAAGGCCATTCTACAGAAGAACAACTGGTGGTCCTCAGCAGTGTTGAGATTGTGAAAAGCAAGGACAGAATGGGGCACCGTACAGTTGTCTCAGACTGGGGGAGGTTAAGAACACATGATCCTCGATCAGTCAAAGGACATTGTTAGACAATTTGGATAGAGAGATTAATAGCCCTGGATCAATGTTACTGTCCTGATTTTAAGCATTACATCATTGTTCTATAACATGCTAGGGTCAAGTATACACAAACATTCTTTGTACTATGCACAAAACAACTTTTAAAAATTTATTTTTATTTAATTTTTAAATAAAGATTTTACTTATTTATTCATGAGACACACAGAGAGGCAGAGGAGGAAGCAGGCTCCATGCAAGAAGCTCGACATGGGACATGATCCTGGGTTTCACACCCCGGGGCTGAAGGCAGAGCTAAACCACTGAGCCACCTGGGCTGCCCACAACTGTTTTTTTTTTTTAAGATTTTATTTATTTATTCATGAGAGGGAGAGAGAGAGAGAGAGAGAGAGAGAAAGAGAGAGAGGCAGAGACACAGGCAGAGGGAGAAGCAGGCCCCATGCAGGGAGCTTGAAGCGGGACTCGATCCTGGGTCCCCAGGATCATGCCCTGGGGTGAAGGTGGCACCAAACCACTGAGCCACCCAGGCTGCCCTACAACTTTGTTTTTTTTTTTTTTTTTTAAGATTTTATTTATTCATGAGAGACACAGAAAGAGAAGCAGAGGAAAAAGCAGGCTACCTGTGGGGAGCCTGATGCGGGACTCCATCCCAGGACCCTGGGATCACGACCTGAGCCAAAGGCAGATGCTTAACTGCTGAGCCACCCACATGCCCCCCCCCCCTTTTTAAAGTTTTTTGTTTAAGTAATCTCTACACTCAGTGTGGGGCTTGAACTCACAACCCTGGGATTAAGACTCATAGGCTCCATTGGCTGCATCAGCCAGGTGCACTGCACCCCTCCTCTCTGCTGCTTTTATTATTTTTTAAAAATGTATTTTAGCGACTGAGTTGGGCACTGCTTATCATGGTCTATTGTTTTCAAGTTGTGGTTTCTTCTCAAGTAATGGTTCTGCGGGCTCTTCCACTCCTCGGAGATCCTTGGCGAGCTCAGCTTCCAGAAGATTCCTCTGGGCGTCGTAGGGGCTGTAGTGCAGAGGGAATGCTCCAGGGTCAAAGTGGCTCATCTAGCAAGCAGGGGCTCAGGGAGGGCTCTTTCCATTTCCTCCAGGATGTTAGTGCCTCAGAGCTGCCCAGGTGGGTGGGTCGGTGCGCCAGGCCTGGAGAGGCCACAGGCGGGAGAGGCTGGCCAAGGGCAGAAGGAGGGACGTGCCCAGTTCATCCTGGACATCTGCCCAAGGACTTCTTCAGAAGCTGCTGGTGCCAGGCCTCAGCTTCCTGTTGCTGGGGCAGGGGACCGGCTTGGAAAGGAGGCTGTCTAGGCCTCAGAGGAAACAAGAGTTTGGCCTAGAGGAGCTCCTGAAACGTGTGGAGACCCACAGACACACACACACACGAGTGCCGACACGCTGGCAAGCACACAGGCCCCAAGAGACACTCGCTGCGAGTGCCCGCAGACACGCATGGTTCACATGGACAGGCTGGCACCATCCCTGGGAACCATAATGGAGACCACTTGTTGGGCCCTGGCCAGGCCACAGGCGAGCCAAAGGAGCTCTTGGGGGAGCCCAGGAGCTTACAAAGCTCTCAGGCTGGGACCCAGGCTTGGGGACAGCAAGGAAGGAGGTCCAGAGGTCACATAACAGACATGCAGACACCCGTCCCCCTCAGGAGTGACCGGGCATCACAGTGGCCCAAGACCAATTGCAGGGCAGTTGCCCCCAAGATCCAGCTGCTCTGTCCCTCCCGCAGCGTGGCCTGCGCTTTTCTGTGGCCTGTGCGCTCTGCCACTGCTGACCAAAACCTACCTCCCCCCAGCCTGAGCCGAAAGGAGAAGTGGCCGTCTTACAAGATGCCGAGGCTGCCTGGCTGGAGGGCTGTTCCAGGCAGGTGGCCCCAGGGCTCCAGGACATCAGCTGCTTTCTCCTCCAAGCCTCACGTAGGCTCGATGTTCCTCAGGGCGGCCAGTGGCCATAAATGGCCCTCAGGAACCCTCTCCCCACCCTGAGTTCCCTTTCCTGGTATTCTACGTTTCCAGAACGGCACCTCAGCATGTTGAGCTAGCCGTGGCTCACACAGTCGTCCTGTGTCCTATGCCCATCTGTCAGGCCCAGGAGGCGGGGAAACAGCTCTGTGCACACCACAGGATCTGAGAATGGGAAGACCTCTGGAAGAAGGGATGCTGGGCAGGCAGAAACAGTAGGTGATGGTTCTGCAGTCGGGGCCCTGGGAGAGGATGGGTTCCATGATCCTCAACAGGCTGACCTACCCTGCCAGGCCAGCAAGGCCGCTTCAGGATGGCCCGTGTGCTGGGAGCCCAGGCAGCTGTGAGGCTGGCAGGCATTGGGTTTCCTGAGGGGAGCAGGGACTTGGCTGTGCGCCCACGTGGTCTGCATGCTTGGACTGCCCTGCATCGGAGTTACATGTTACATAACAGCCTGCTTGGGGAGTGGGGACACAGGTAAGTGGGTGTGTCTGGGGCGTGTGTGTGTGGGGGGCTGGGAACCTTCTAGAATCCCTTAACCTGTGCCCAGATGAGAGATGACTGGGGCAAGGCAGGGCTTGGAAGGTACACTGGGGGTGGACTTGAGAATGAACAGGACTTGATGATCCGTGGGAGGTGGTAACTGTGGATGGGGGTGTAGAGGGCTCAAGGAGGAGCCTCTGGTTTCCCGAGAACAAACCCAGGACATGAGGAAGTCTGGAGAGCCACCTGGGACGTGCTGAGGGCGTGGGCCTGGAGACACTGGGCCGACATGGGAGCCAGGCTTCCCCAAGGCTGCAGTGCGGATGCTTGGCTCGGCCAGCACTGGTGAGCACTGGACAAGGCACAGAAGAGGCAAGAATGACCCAGCAGGGGGCACCTGGGTGGCTCTGTCTGGTCAGTGTCTGACTCTGGTGTTGGCTCAGGTCATGATCCCAGGGTCTTGGGATGGAGCCCAGCATCGGGCTCCACTCTCAGAGCAGAGTGCTTGTCCCTCTCCTTCTGCTCCTCCCCCTGCTCACCCTCTCTCAGATAAATAAACAAACAAATAAATAAAATCTTGAAGACACAAAGAATGACTGGGAGGAAGTGGCCGGTTGTCCCTAGCCCACAGCTCCGTCCAGCCCTGGTTTCCGCCCAGCCAGCCTGCTCAGGCCCCCGGGCTCTCACTGGCCCTGGTCACACCCCTTCCTCAGCTCCTCCAGAAGGGGCGGGGAGAGGGCCCAGCCTTCCTCTCCTGGGCCAGCCTCTCAAGTGAGCAGCCCAGGGCTGATAAGAGCTCCGCGGCTGTCTCGTCACACACCAGCCTGGGCCCACAGAGCCGCCAGCACCATGAAGGATGAGGTGGCCCTTCTGGCCACTGTCACTCTCCTGGGAGTCCTGCTGCAAGGTGAACTAGCTCCTGTTTGGGAGGTGGGGGAGGGGCCCTGGGGAGGTGCTGGGGGGCCCAGGACCGGGGAGGGGTGGACTCGCCCAGACTGCTGGGGCTGGAGCTTTTCTGGCCCCAGTGAAGGCTGAGAAGGTGGCACCATCCTCAGGGCCAGGGAAAGCCCTGGAGGGAGGTCTGTGGGGTGAGCTGTGAAACCCTGGGCCAGGACCAGGGCTGAGGGGGGTGCCTGGCTGAGGCGATAGCCAGCCAGATAGAAAAAGGGTCCTGAGGAACAACTGAGAGAGGCATGCCTTGTGTGAGCAAGGGGGTGGCATAAAGGACATTGGAAGGGGGGCAGGGGCTTCCGGGAGCGGGTGGGGCACCCAAGGCCTTAGGCTATTGATTCTGTGATGGGAGGCCACTCTGGGATGGGAGGCGCCAGAATGAAAGGCTGACCTGCCGGGGCAGCCATGGGGCCCAGGGCAGCCCTCTCCCACTATCCTCTTTCTGGGAATCCCAGCAGGACCCAGCTCTGCCCTCTTCAAAGGCATCCTCTCTATGCTGGGATCACATGGAGCTGCACAGGGTTGGAACCTGCGCCCTGCCCTACCTACTCCACAAAGGTGCCCGGATGGTATCCTTATGGACTGTCCCTAGAGGACACATTCTCAGGCTGGATATTCTTGCCCCTTGGGACACCGTCACTCTACACTGTCTGGGCTAGGACAAGGCACAGCCTGGGAAGGGGCCCTTCAGGGGGGGCGGGGGGGTCAGAGCAGACAGGCTGACTTGATCTGCTAGGCTAGCAAGCTTGGCTCTTCGCCCCTCCTCAGTAGCCACAGGGCCCCCTCTAGGTCCTACTCTGATGCACTGTTCCACAGCGCACTTGGGAGTAGACAGGTCTTCAGAGGGCCTGGCATCAAGAGCCCCAGGGCCCCTGGACTTGCTGGAAGACAACTAGCACTGGGGCTGTGTGTGTGTGTGTGTGTGTGTGTGTGTTCAAGGCCTGGCCAGAGGCCAAGAGAAGGGCACCTGTGCACTTAGATCCTCTGGGTTTAGCCCACTCTCCACATCCACCCAAACTGGAATGGAGGGAGACAGAGCCCCACAGGCCCCCAGGGTTGGAGTAGAAGATTCCCAGCAGCAACTGCCCTGGGGTAGTGGAGAGGATGTCTGTCAGATTTAGGTGGGGGTCCCAAACACCTGAACAGAGAAACTAAGGCAGGAGTCCATGCCACAGTTTGGAGGCACAGTGATCCTGGCCTGAAGTAGGATCAACCCCCCCCCCCCCCACACACACACACACGGCTCCGCAGGTGGGGACCAGGAACTGTAACCCACAGGGTGTGTGTTCTCTTGCATTTGTAAGGATGAAGCCAACTCTGCCCTCCAGCCCTGATGATGGGACCCTCAAAGTGTAGGCGTATATCTAAAGAGTGGGAGCTGGTCATTTGCCTGTGCTTTGCAAGTCAAAGTCAAAGGGTTTAGGAGCGAAGTCCAGAGCTTGCAGGCCCCTCCCAAGTCCAGGTGTACCCGCGACACTCCTCCTGCCCCTCGGTGGGGAGGGGGCGTGGGAACAGCGCCTCCTGGCATCCCGGGCCGGCCCCCTGCCCTCCCCGTTGAGCATCTTGGATACCAAAACCCAGAAACAAGGGGTGGGGGCCGGAGGTCCCCTCAGGTTGGACTTCACTTATTTTCCAGGAGGGCTTAAAGGGGAGTCGTGACAAGGTCAGCACGCGGGAAGAAAGGAGGAGAAAAGGTGGGACCTAGACGGACGGCGCGGGCCTCCGGGCGGCGGACCTGACTCCCGCCCATCCTCGCCCCCAGCCTACTTCTCCCTGCAGGTGATCTCGGCGCGCAGAGCCTTCCGCGTGCCGCCGCCGCTTACCACCGGGCCGCCGGAGTTCCAGCGCGTCTACCGAGCCCAGTGAGGCGTGCGGGGAGGGCGCGGGGCCGGGGAGGGCGCGGGGCGGGGAAGGCGCGGGGCCGGGGAGGGCGGGGAGGGGCGCGGGGCCGGGGAGGGCGCGAGGGCGGGGAGGGCGCTGGGCCGGGGAGGGCGGGGGAGGGCGCGGGCGGGGAGGGCGCGGGGCCGGGGAGGGCGCGGGCGGGGAGGGCGCGGGGCCGGGGAGGGCGGGGAGGGCGCGGGGCCGGGGAGGGCGCGAGGGCGGGGAGGGCGCGGGGCCGGGGAGGGCGCGGGGCCGGGGAGGGCGGGGAGGGCGCGGGGCCGGGGAGGGCGCGAGGGCGGGGAGGGCGCGGAGCCGGGGAGGGCGCGGGGCCGGGGAGGGCGCGGGGCCGGGGAGGGCGGGGAGGGCGGGGAGGCGCGGGGCCGGGGAGGGCGCGAGGGCGGGGAGGGCGCGGGGCCGGGGAGGGCGCGGGGCCGGGGAGGGCGGGGAGGACGCGGGGCCGGGGAGGGCGCGAGGGCGGGGAGGGCGCGGGGCCGGGGAGGGCGCGGGGCCGGGGAGGGCGGGGAGGGGCGCGGGGCCGGGGGAGGGCGCGAGGGCGGGGAGGGCGCGAGGGCGGGGGAGGGCGCGGGGCCGGGGAAGGCGCGGGGCCGGGGAGGGCGCGGGGCCGGGGAGGGCGCGGGGCCGGGCAGCGACGGGGTCCCAGCCCCCTCCCCGCCGGCGCCCTCACACCGCCCGTTCCCACCGCAGAGTGAACTGCAGCGAGTACTTCCCACTGTTCCTCGCCACGCTCTGGGTCGCCGGCATCTTCTTCCACGAAGGTCTGGGCTCGGGGCAGACGCGCACACACCCCGGGGCCCCGGGCCGCGCGCCAGCCGGCTCACGTGGCCGCGCCCGGCCTCTCGCAGGCACGGCGGCCCTGTGCGGGTTGGTCTACCTTTTCGCGCGCCTCCGCTACTTCCAGGGCTACGCGCGCTCGGCGCAGCAAAGGTGAGGACCCTGCTGGGGACCCTGGGAGGTGGCGCGGGGCCCGGCAGAGGAGGCTTGCGGGCGGGCCTGGCGGGGGGGCGGGCCTGGCGGGGCCCGGGGCGCTGGGGGCGGGCCGCCGCCGCCCGCCGCCGCCCGCCCCGCCCCCGCTGAGCGCCACCCGCAGATTGACGCCGCTGTACGCGAGCGCGCGCGCGCTCTGGCTGCTGGTGGCGCTGGCGGCGCTCGGGCTGCTCGTCCACTTTCTCCCCCGCGCGCTGCGCGCCGCGCTCCTCGGACGGCTCGGGACGCTGCTGCCCGGGGCCTGAGACGGAGGACGCCGGGTCGGAGGAACCGGAGAAGAGCCGGAGCTTCCAAGAGGACAGGGGAGGGGTGCTCGTCCTATCCCAGTCCCCTATTAAAGTGCCGGTGACCGAACCCCGTGCGCACTGTCTGGGTCGGAGGGACCGCGCAGCCCTGGGCCGCGGCGGCTGGTGGGCTTCCCGGCAAGGGGCTTCCCGGGGGCGGGGCTGCGGGAGAGGGGCCTCTCGGGCCGGGGGACACGCGCCCGGCCCGCCGCCGCGCTTTCCGCGGGGGCTCGCCCCGTGGCCCCTCCCTGCGCCCAGCGGCTCGTCGCCTGTCCCCACCTCTGAGGCCTGCCTCCTCACTGTCTTCCAGCTGCCCCTTCCTCGTCCCCTGTCTTTCACAGCTGGCATCAGGGACGTTTTTGGGTCAGCGCTCGGTGCCTGGCGTTCGGCCCGGTGTAATGTTCCGTGGGGGTAACGACCAGTGCCGTCAGTGTAGTCGGGACAGGCACTCTTGGGGAAGCGTCTGGCTGCCTTGGGGGCCCAGACACGGGCAAGGCCTGCTGGCTGGACAGAGCGTCCCAGAGGAGGGGATTTTTTTAGCCAAGTCGGCAGAGGAGAGGAGCTTTCCAGGCAGGGCAGCCACTCTCGCACAGGTCCCAGGGTGGGCGGGAAGCCCTAAAATGTGTCAGAGCCCCTCGGGGCGCCGCAGAGGGTTGGCGACCTCCGATGAGGGCAGGGCCTGGACTCACAAAGTAGGAGGTTGGGGATGCCTTGGGTGTGGGAGGCAAAGGCTGGAGCAGGCAGTTGGGGCGCGGTGATAGGAGCTGGGGGGTGTGCTTGGGGCAGGCGGTCCTCAGTAAGCAGAGGCAGCTTTGGGTGCCCCGCCTCAGATTCCACACCACCTGCACCTGCGAGTCACCCACCCGGCGGCCTGGGCCTTCTGGTAAATGAGGGCAAGGTGATGCAGAGCTGTGCGGAGGGCGGATGTGGCGGCGGGCATGGGTGGCACTGCCTGGCTCCTGGCCTCCGCCTGCAGCCACAGCTCTCTCACACTTACTCTCTCCCAACACTTATGCTGGAGGCACAGACTTCATTAACCCTTTATTACAAGTCACACTCTTATAGAAGTATATGTGGACTTACGTGAAAAAATCAAATGTATCCAAGAATAAAAAACACAGCACATAAAGTAGTATATGCATTCCAGTGTTCGCGCCAGAGACAGTGGGCGCCCAGGAAAAAAGCTCTTCTAAAAAGGCCTGGCTTGATAGCTCAAGCCTGCCAGGGATGTGAATGGTTCCAGGGCCGCAAGGGCCGGCCTCAGGCACAGTGTGGGGGGCGCCTGCCTCCTCCCGCGGCCGGGCGGGGGTGGGGTGGGGGGGCAGCACCAGCTCCTGGGGCCTCCGGGCCAGCGGCGATCCCAGGCCTGCGGAGCGGGGTGCCGGGCAGGAGCCCTTGGGCTGGCCCTCCGGGGGCAGCAGCGACGACATCCCAGGTCTCCCAGGGGGCTTCAGGGCCAGCCAAAGTGCACTCTCAGAAGCCCTCCACTTAGTCGGCCTTTTTCAGGAAGATCTAAAAGAGCAGGGCTTGGGGGTCAGCAGAGGCCTCAGAGCTGAGCCACTATCTGGCTACTGGGAAGGGTTCCCGGACGCCCCCCCCCCATCCTGGCTTACCTCGCTCAGAATGACCCACACTGGGGAGTCTGTCTGGATGGAGAGGCGCAGTGCTTCCAGGGGGCCAAAGGCAGGGTCCACCTCGCCCTCTGCCACACCCTTATAGAAGGAGCCTGAGGGAGGGAGGGCAGCACTGAGCCACTGCCCCCAGACCTCTGCTCGCCCTGCCTCCACTCCTCACGTCCACCTGCCTGCCCACCACTCACCTATCTGGAGGTAGCCATCAGGGCTCCGAGGGTACCGCAAGGTGGCTGAGCGGCCCTCCTGCAGGGCCTCCTTGTCTGACTGGGGGTTCTGGGGACAAAACAAAGAGCTGAAGCTGTGGCTGGGGGAGGGGCAGGCCTTCCTACACACCCGTGCCCTGCTACACTTACGTCAAAGGGCAGCACCTCCACAGAGGTGTTGAAGAGCTTGTCCTCTGGGTGCTCAATGTTTCCACTGCGGAAGAAGAACCTGCGGCCAGACAGGCCGGTGAGCTGCTGCAGGGCCGGGGCACTGCCCTGGCACTGTCTAGCAGAGGAGAAGCCACACCTGGGCCAGGAGTGTAGCAGGTAGGCCCTGGGGTGCTCAGGGAGGCTGGGTAGGGCTCAGGGGGTGTGCAAGGGGACGGTAGTGCTGGCCGACCTCACACAGTTAACTGTGGGCACCACCTGACTTAGTGTTTACAAAGTACCTACCATCATGAAGCCCATTCTTCAGATAAGGACAGTGAGGTTAAGTGATTTGCTGGGGGTCAAAGAGGGCATGTGCAGGTCCAGAAATTGGTGGTGAGGCTTCTATCCTGGTGGCCACCCTGCCCCTCCCCCAAGGTGGACCTAGGGGGTGCCGGCACTGACCGCTCAAGGCGCAGCGGTTGGAAGAAGCGGAAGCGGATGAAGTCCCCTGCGGCAGGCGTAAAGGCCCAGAAGAAATCCTCACGTAGGTAGGCCTTCTCCAGGGTGAAGTGCTGGTATGTCTTGAGGCTTGTGCTCACCTCGGCCGGTGGGTTCACATGCTCCTTCCTCAGTGCCTGCTTCCCAAAGTCCTTGTCCTGTGGCCAAGGAGATACAGCAGAGCTGGAGAGGGCCCCCCCAGACTTGCGCTGTCCACTCCCCCCTGCCCCCGGCACCCCACCGCAGCCCCAGCTCTGCCCACACCCAGCCAGGCCCAAGGGTAGTATAGCCCACCTTCAGTTTCTGGATCTTGCCCGCCAGCGAGGAGTGCGTGCCCACGTGCTGGAAGAGGGAAGGCTTGAAGCGGATCCGCAGGTTGGCCTTCTGCCGGTCACAGTGCTTCTGCAGAGATTGTGACAGCCTAGGGCTCAGCTAGGCTGCTCTGCTGTCCCCTTATGTCAGGTGCCACATGGACACTGACATGGTCCATGCTGGAGGCTGCGTGCCCCCCCACCCTTTGTGCAGCCCAGGCTCACCGCATCCTTCTCGGGGTTGCAGACCTTCACCCACAGAATATGGTCCAGGAGCCAGTCAATGGGCTTGTCCCGGTAGAACATGAGGATGAATTCCACAATCAGGCTCAGGTCCAACGACTTAAACATCTTCCCTGGGGGTGGGAAAGGGTGCTGGGTGGGCAGCTCTACCCCGTCCTACTGCTTCTTGATCTCTGGGGGCCAGGGCTGGCGTCACCAGGGAGGCTCCCAGTGCAAGCCCTACAGCCAGCTGCAGGCAGGTGCAGACACAAGGGTACAGAAGGAGGTGGTGAGCCCTGACCTCTGGAAGCCAAGGGCAGCTGGACTGAGGAGCCCCGGTCAGGTCAGGGGCGTGGGGTGCTGGGTGGCAGGTGGGGGGTGGCGTACCAATGAAGCCCAGCTGGGAGAACTCCAGGATCATCCAGTCCTCCGAGGGCTGCTGGAGAGCGAAGGTCTTCATGGTGCTCAGGTAGTTGGGCCTGGCTACAATGTCGTCCTCCAGCTGCACAGTGTGGGGTAGAAGGGGGCCTGGACTCAGCATGGGCACAGGGGCGTGGTACAGCAGGGCTTACCACCAGCCCCGGGCAGGGTCCAGGTCTCTGGGGGGCAAGGCAAGTTCTCAGTGCTGACCTGCACGTAGTAGATGCCTTTGGACTGTGCGTACATCATGAGGAAGCAGTAATCGAGGTTCTGTTTGGTCCTCCACCTGTGGACCAGGGGCAGGGGCTCATGGGCTCGGACCCTTCCACCTCCAGTGTGGCTACCACAGAGGCCACGGATTGGGTTGGCCTCCCACCCCAACCCCATGCGGGGGTCCTCTGGTGGAGACATGGAGGTACTGCAAGGAAATGCCTGCGACTCCGGCACCAGCCAACCAGGTTCTCCACTCTGGTGGGCAGGTTGCGGAGGGTGGCACCTGGTCGGGTGTGGTGCTCCTACCTGACTCTCTCCTTGGGGTCCCCAAAGGACTCTCGGAGGCGGGAGAAGTCAGGGTAGAAGTGGGGGTCAGGGGAGATGACCTCCAGGAGCCCGGAATGGATCTCCGTGGGGAACCTGGGAACGGGGAAGGCCAGTGGGTGTGCAGCCTCCTGGCACTGCAGCTGGGGCAGGGCTGAGCTAGACAGAGCCTGTCCCTTTGGTAAGGCCCTCTGGGCAGCTATCACACGACACTGTGCCCACCCTGATGAGGCACAGACGCTCCAGAAAGCTGGGCTGCCTCTATGCACCCACCCATTTTCAGCAAAGATGGGAAGCACCCTTTCCCACATTGGGAAGGCAGCATCACATAGGAGCAACCGGCACTTGCCTGCCCCACTAGCGAAGCCCCTCCCCCACCAGCTTTGGGGTGTGTGTGTGCCAGTACTCACAAGGCTTTGATGTTCTCTGTCACCACCGAGGTATACTGTGGGTCAGTCTGTGGGGAGACCAAGTGCCCTCCCTAAGCCTGGCTGTCACCCCCATTCGGCCTGGAAGAAGGGGCTGAGGGATGGGTGCGGGCTCCAGAGGACCCCGTGCACTGCGGGCCCTGAGGTGGGGTGGCCGAGGTAACTGGCGTTTCCACCAGGGGACGCTGAACGGGACTTTCTCTGTAACTTGTCTTAAATTTGTGAATGAAACTGACAACTGAACTTTGAGGTTTTTTTTTCCCCTCCAGAATGCTACTCTGTTGTCCTTTCTCTTTCTTGCTATTTTTGTTCCGCGGTTCTCTGCAGGCTCCGACCTCTCCCCACCCCCTCCAGCCCCCGCGCCCCAGGCCACTCGCCTCGGCGATCAGCACCACGATGACCGAGTCCTCCTTCTCCTGCGGGCTCAGCTCCGAGATGAGCGAGTGCAGCGTGTCCGTCAGGTACGAGTGCACCTCGCGCCGCACGCTGGGGATGCCCATCACTACGGACACTGCGGGGGGGGCGAGGAGCCGGTACTGCAGGACGCCGGGGCCCGCCCCGCCCCTCCCCCTGCCGGGCCGCGCCCCGCCCCTACCTCCCGTGCGGCCCTGGCCCACACGCACGGCGGGCTGCAGACTGCTTTCCTTGGCCAGCAGGTGCGGCAGGTGGTGGAAGACGGTGGGCAGGTGCAGCACGTGCTTGTGGGAGACGTTCCACGGCTTCAGTCTGGGATCCTCTGGGGGGGGGGGCAGCAAGGGACGCGTCAGGGCGGGCGGCCGGCCGTCGGCCCCGCCTTCCCGCCTTCCCTGCCCGGGGCGCGGCGCCCGCGCTCACCAGTTAGGCGGCCCCAGGTGCGATTGCCCTCCCCCTCTCGCAGCGCCTGCCTCTCCGACACGGCCCTCTTGATCTCGTCCAGCACCAGGTTGAGCTCCTTGGAGCGCTTGAGGCTCTCCTGCTCGGCCGCATGCAGCCGGTCACGCAGCGCCAGGAACTCCCGCTGGTACACGTCCACCACATCGCCTGCGGGTGGTTCGTTCGCACGCTGTCACCAGGGGGCAGCCGAGCATTGCCCTACTGTCCCTTGAGTGTGCCAGCCGCACATTCCTGTGCCCATCTGTGCGATAGCCTATCTACATCTGTTCTTGTGCCTGCCCACACGCCAGCTAAGGGTGTGGGGGTGGTGGTGAGAGGTGGGTAGTGTACATAGGGTCAGTCTAAAGTCACAGTGACACTCGGGGGAGGGGGTAACTCTCCCCCTATCCTGCTCACCTTTGAGAAGACTTCTGGGGGAGGGCTACAGGATCACTTCCCGCCCCAAGTGGGGGAATCCTTAGACTGAATCTTTACCCAGTGGCTTCCAAAGACCCCTCTTGCTTCTTTCTGCTGTTTCTGCTCCTCCCAGGAGGTTGGATACCCAAGGTCCCAACCAGGGCAGGACCCAGCCCTTGCTCAAGAGGGTTCTTAGCTCCCTGCTTTCAGCCTCTACCCTTTGCTCCC